GCATTTGTGTTAGCAGCACTAGCTCTGCTCTTCAATATATAGAAAAAAGTGAAAGACAAACTCTTCTCTTTGAGTTTATTTTAGAGCTGTTCAAATCCTTGTGAAAGTTTTTTTCTAGATGCTCCAGTGTCATATTTGGTATCCAAACTAGAGAGCAAATGCTTGTCTTGTTTTTATATATCTCTCTTAAACAAGAGCAAACCATTGGTTTTGCTTCCCATAAAGTTGGAAGAATCTTGCAGGATGCTTAGGGAGGTGTTTGAGGTGGGAGAGCTCATTACAGCTCATCCCTTTTCAGCTGAATAAGAAGGATTTATTAGGAGAAACAAATGTGCAAATTTAACAGCATTATTCAGATAATGGAGGATTTCAAATGTTTTTGACACTGCTGTAATAGGCTGATCACTAACTAGGATTAATAAGAGTAGGATACAAATCATCCTTAATCTAGTTTAGGGCTTGTAGCAGCTTGTGGCAAAGCCAGTGTTTTTGCTTACCTCAAAGAACAATTTGGAAAAAGCTGCTTCCTTTTACATATACCATGGCTCCAAATTAAAGAAATGTGGTTCCCTGTTTGGGTGGGGTGAGATCAACTAATAAACTACAAATCTCCCCTTCATCATAAGAGAGTACTTCAAATCTGTGCTCTAGCAGGAGGGAACTCTGTGGCAGCTGATGGGATAAGCACAAAAAGATTCATGTATTGAGACTGCGACCAAAATGAAGACTGAAGAATAGTTAGAAATAGTGCTTTTTTTTTAAATAAAAAAAACCTCTTGAGTATGTCAGACTTCTGGAGCCAATAATATTGCTAATGAGATGTGAAAGCCTGGCCCATTCTTGATTAAATTGAAGATGCCACTAAGTAGCTTTCTGGTTGTCCCAGCAGAACTGAATAACTATTGTTCTGCAACAATACAGCGCTCAGCAAGAGTGGAGGCTAACAGTCTCCCCAGGGTTTCCCCTAAACAGGCTGCTTTAATACTTGGGGAAGGGGGTCTTCCACTGATTAATGGGAACTGGTTAATGCATATCAAAAATGCTGTTAAAAATTTTACCCCTCACACTCAACCAAATTCAGTGACACCAAATCAAAAGGGTTAGGCAAGTACTTCTAATCAGTTGTCTGAGCTGCTAAAAAAAACCCACAAAAACAAAAAACAAACAAAAAAAAAACCCAAAAAAACCACTAAAAAAAATATGAGCTTGTTAAATGGTAAAAAAGCAACATGTTGTAGGTGCAGTATAAGAATTGAAAGTTTTTTGACGAGAATACATGAGATACCATCAGAGATCTTTCAAAGGATCCACCACCTGAACTTAAATGCATTCATCCAGCCTCTGTGGCATCAATTACAATGTGAATGGTCCACAAATAGTCTCAGTGGACTGAAAAATAAACTGGATGATGATGGAAGTAATTTCTAAAGGCACGTCCACATTAGCTGATTATATCTAATGGTCTGATAATAAAATTTTGAGCTAAAGTAATGCAAAGTTGTTGGTAGAGCAATCTTGCTTTAAGCTGGAATTTATTTTCAGCTCTTTTGTATGATGGCACAACCTGGTGATTCAATCTGTGTTCTGCGCCCCTAATCCTCTTAACTAATCAAAACCTTTCTCGTTGGTGTAACTCAGCTGCAATAAAAGGTCATGGAAAAGCCTTGACCATGAGGTGTTTGCTGTCTGAACAGCATGGTCCGTCTTCTTGATGCAAACCCAAATTAGTTCAGTCCCTTCTGATGCTGTCCTGGGTCAGTGTTTTATGTTAACCTTGCTGTGTCTGAAATCCTTCAGCAGCAGATCATTATAGAAGCATGACCTTTCTGCAGTACTTGTATTTTGTGGTGCCATAAGGAAAGGTTACTGCCTTTCATGCCTACTAAAGCTGTAGTCTATGGAGCAAGAAGTGTAGTCTTTATATAACCGTACAGTTACATAAATTAGGCAAATGTTCCGTAATGCTCATGTGTCATAAAATTGGATGATGTCATGAAGTTACGTCACTTTGTGGATATTCTGACTGGTATCCACATGTGCATAATCCTATACTGTCCCTTGAGAATTTGGGGCAAAGAAAGTCCCTCTCAGATCCCAGGCCTCAAACTACCTGGTTAAAGGGAGATGCCGCAACTCCCAGAGGAGCAGTTTGGGACAAGACCCTTTGGGACAACTAAGTAGAAGGACACATTTAGTGCAACTTCACTAAGTTCTCATATAAAGCTGTGGAAAGCAGACTTTATTAATCCTGAATCATGTTTTCTATTATCCTCTTGAAGTACCGTAGCCAACCTCAGGGGACAGGAACCAGTCTGAGCCTGCCCTCATGTTTGCAGGATTGCTGCTGAGCAGCAGCTGGGCAGCTCTACACTGGAACAGCATGAGTCTCCATTGGCTTAGACTGGACTTTCCTCCTCTGAGGAGGACCTAGCTACCCCCCGCTAAGATACAGAAATCAAACTAGGATTCAAACAAGTACATGACAAAGGCTATGTAGAAGCAGAACATGCAGCAGCCTGGGAAGAAGCTAAAAGCTCAGGTGTGAGGGGAAATGTAAGGGTAGGCTGGCTGAACACGCAGGATAACAAGAAAGGAAGCATGGCATGACTAACAAGCCTCGTCCATTAATACCACAAGGGGAAGGGGTGCTGGCTCGGTAGTCAAGATCAAGAGTTGCTATTTCACTTCCTGACAGTCTGTGATCCTTTCAGGAATGTTGCTAAGGTGTGCAGACCACCACCAAGAACCAGGTGTTCTTGGAAATCCTGTATGAGCTACCCCTGAAGATTCCGATTTGGGGGGAAGTTATTCTCAATCCTCAATAATGGTGCATGGTGACATGTCTTAAACTTTCTTCAATAAAAAGCTGGAGGGATTGCTTTCTAACTGCTTCAAGGTAGAGTCTTTCAGCTGGGAGGAGAATGCACCCCCCCTTTTGCAACGCATCCCCCTTTGCACTCAAAACCAAGCTAAGTGGGAGAACAAACGATTGTGCTTGCTACTGCTAGTGCAAGAAAGGAGGGAGAAAAATGGTCCCCTCCCCCCGCATCAACCAAAATGGTGCAATTTCTGAAGTCTGACTTCACAGGGAAGCTGAGTTTGGGAAGCCTGGCAGTTCCTTCTGTATTCTTTCTGCACCAACAGTTTCGTACTCTTTAATATTTGAAGTGTGGTGAGATCAGCTTGTGTGAGTCACTGACCTTCGACACAAGAAGGAAAACATACAGGAAGTACTTATCTGACCTACTTTCCATGGATGAGTGCAAAAGCGCAGTGCAAACAAGCAGGGACAAATCTAAAAATCCAAATTACCTCATGACATGCAGCTAAATAAAAGATTGAAAGGCAATATCTTCTTAGAAATTACTCTAGAAATATGCTTGCAGAAGCTTAAAGAAAAGTGGTTTGGTTTGGTTTTCCAGTAGAGAAGGAAAGTTTAATGTCTATGTGAGGTTTTTTTTGTTCTTTTTTGTTATTTTAAAAAAAAATCATCGAACTACAATGATCTCCTAGAAGGGGTAAGATCTTGGATCTGATTAGGTTGGTGGCAGTTTGCATACTTCTTTGTCTTCAGAGAGGCCAAATCTAATGGGCTAGTTAACTACCTTGGAAACTAGTTTTTCTATGGAAATGTGGCAAATGGATAAGGTATTAAGGACGGAAGAGAAAACTGGATAAACCTGATATCTTAGAAGAATGAAAAGGAGATAGGGCCAATAAATACAGCCATGTAGTTAATAAAGTGACAATGAAAGAGCTCAGCTGCTTTGTTTGACAGATCATACTAGTGCTGGCTAACTTCTTCCTAGGATGAAAATGAGCGTTATAGTCATTTTTAAGTGACGCTGTGTTAATGCAAGCTAGAGAAATACAGCGGGCCTGGGTGCAAAGCTGGCAAGAATGTATGTTCTTTTTACATAATAAAATGAGATTTCACACTTCCAATAAAACCATGATCAGCTTGGATGATGCGATGCAGTATCTCCTAAGCTTGCAGATGGGGCAGTCCTGGAAAGGGATGATGAGGGCAAACGGGGAATGTAGTTGGATGGCGAAAGATGAAATTCAGAAGTGACTTAGAGGGCTTTGGTTTGAAATCTAAGAAGGGAGAATGACTGGTTAGGTAATGGTAGCCCTGCAGAAATAAACCTGGGGCTAGTCATGAGCTGAGAGTCAAGCATGTTGTACCGATAGGAACAGTAAGCGTATACAGCAGAGGCCAACAAATGTGTGAAGTAATCACTCTGCTTTATTCAGTGTTGTCTTCTTTGGATATTCTGAACAGCTTTTAACGTTGTCTGTTATGACAAACAGGTGCAGTAGAACAGGGGTTTGGCCTCTTGTTTCAGCAACTGAACTTCTGTGCTGTTAGTGTACTCCTTGAAGCATAAATGGAGAAAGCTCAGGGCTGTATTCTCCTACATGGAAGGCTGGCTTCTCTCTCAGGACTTAGTCTGAGTGCCCACACTTAAAAAAAGAGAATCTCATTCTACTTCCCATTAGATGCTGTGGTTTCAGATACGTGAACTGTGCTGGAAGGGCTCAAAAAGGCAGAGAGAGAAGCCAAACTCCTTTCTCTCCCCTTCTTTTCTGCTCTTTAGAAGTAATGCAGTAATTCACAGATGAGGTGGTTGGTAGATAGCAAAGACGTGAGCAGTCAGAACCTGAAGCAGAATGGTTATGTTGTGTAAGGACTGAGCACCGGCTGCTACCAGGATGCAGCTCTGACTGGATTCCTTGCTTTCTTCTTCCCCAAAGCAAGTGCAGCCTGGAAGCAGCGCAGAGAAGGGAGGCAGCAAGACTGACCTTTCCAACACCGAATAGACTAACCAGAACTACTCTTTTGGGGAGGGACGATGGAATGAAGACAGATGAGAAAATGCAATCTGAACAAAGAAAGTTTGTGTAACCTTCAGGAGCCCTTAGAGGACTCTGCGCAAGCAGCATGATAACTTTAAGTAATCTCATCACTAACACACCTTCTCCCTTTCCCTTTAAAGCAAACTATAAACCTGAACCTTCCTCCTGAAGATCTTGATTCATCTGGTGATGACGACGATGCGTTCTCAGGTTCAGGTGCAGGTGAGTTATTAGCACTTGTACTGTTAGTGCTTGATCCTTCCAGAATGTGGCAATGGAGATCTTGATGAGCATGCAAGTTAAAAGAGGGGGTGGGAGGAATCACACCCCCCCACCCCAGAATATGAGAGTTGGGAACCGAGAAAGAGCTTAATCTATTCATCTTATATTGCTTCAGATACTAACAATTAGCAGAAGATGATTTGTAGGAGATTTGAAAGGGAGCAGAAGCAGGTATACCCCATGTCACTGCTAATATGAAATATTGCATGAAGAATATTATGGAACTGGAGTGATTCTTTACTCATGGGGAAGAGAGACCGTAAGAAGGGCCTTTGTCCTCTCTTAAGAGCTGGTAGGAGATACCATTTTAGGGTGTGTAAACCCCAACTTGCCAACATACATCAAGTGCAAATTTTATCTGTCATCAGATGTGCAAGCTCCCATGGGCCACAATTTTTTAAAAGTGGAATAAAGGCGATTTAGGGTGGGGAAAAAGTCTATCGGAATGATTACTAAACTGCATGAGAGAGACCGTTGGTGTTCAGTGCTGAAGTTGAGGAGATGCTACTGAGGAAAGAGCAAGCTATTGAAAGCTAAACCATGGTATCCTCTGCTTCCTTCCAGCCACATGCTTGTATTTTAGATTAAATTCTGCAGGAATAAGACCCTGAAATCAGTGCCAAATATGCCAGTGACTAAAGGTGTTGAGTATGTGGGTGACTGCTCTGAATCACATAAAAGATATTGAGTCAGATAACCATCCTGAGCAACCAGTGTACTGAAAGCAGACATCCCCCTTGTTGACCTGTCCGCAAACAGACTAGCTCTTGTGCCTTGGGGAGAAGCAGATGACTAACAAAGTGTTGCTGAGTAGCGCATTGGTCTGTCCCTTCCTTATGCCGCCGAAAAGGATAAGGAATTACAAACTGAACTGCTGTTAGTACAAAAATTGGCTATGCAGGTTAGGCATCCTTCTTAGACCAGCGTCCTGAAGATACTATTAATAGGTCTCTAAACTGGCCAAGGATAATATTTTTTTGTTTTGCAGGTCCCCTGACTGACCAATCTCACACCTGGAGAATCCCAGGAGAACCGACTAATTCCTCATTACTGGCAACACCAATGGATTTCAATGAACAGCCATTTCCCGGGATTGAGAGCCGAACTGAAAAGGAAGTAATATCTCCTTCTGCAACTAGTAATGTAGTGACAGAGGAGCCAGTTGTAGCTGTGAAGGATGAAGTACCCATCCTGGGCTCATCTGATGAGAAACTAACAAATGTTGTGGTTACAACAACAGTGAGAAGTCCCACTACTCACTTTCCTTCAGTGGTTCATGTAACTCCTTCAGAAGCCTCAGGCACGGTCCATGAGCTCGAACCTAAAATCCCTAGCTCTGATGTGCCAGACACTAAAGACGTGCCTGAGCCCCACTCTACCATCCATCATGAGGAAGACATCACTGCCACCCCCACGACGACAGCTCCAAAGGACATTGTTCCTACACATGAAGAGGTTTCTGAAGATGGCTCTGGAGACCCGGTGAGGACCAATAGCTTTGACTCCCCTTTCCAGGGAGATGGCTTTAGTAGTATGTAGTAAGTTGGTTTTGCAGGAAATAGTGGTAACTTGTCAAAAGCAATGATTGATTTTATAGGTTATATTGGTGGAGGGTTTTAAATGAGAAAAAACAAAGCTGTGGAAAGTCTCCAGTAACAGACATGATGAGAAACATGAATAACCTGCCTTGTATGTCCCAACAGGGAGACTTCATCTTGACTAAAGATGAGGATTTGGTCCCCACCCAGAACTCAGAAGTACTGGCTGACTCTGGGAGGAATGCCAAAGCAGCAGGAGCCTCGGGAATTATGGACAGAAAAGAAGTTCTTGGAGGTACCTGATATTCTGGATTTCTAGTTGGTAAAAGCAGACTCTCGTAGGAGTCTTCCAGGCAGCAGAAGCTACAGTTCTGCAAGTACATCTTGAGCGTGAAAGCCAACCTTTTACGTTAGACCTCTGAAATGAGGGTGGTGGTTCATGATTCTATGTTGTCAAAACCCTAATGGGGGCAAATATTAATCTGCTGTGATAGCAAAGCAGCCACTGCTAGTTATCTGGAATTTTATGTTTAAACCTATTCCTTTGCTTCTGTCAAAAATTACAGTAAAACTGCTCTAACGCTGCCTGGGTCAAATTACTAGCGTTGAACAACGTAGCCTTGTGTGCTTTGCAGCATGGCCCGTTGGGAGATCTGTTTCTCTAGGTTTACCTCATGTAGATGAGCAGGCTCTTGGTAATGGCAGGATGACTGATTTGGGAGAGGGCAAAAGAAGAAATTAATTTCTGGAAGTCATGAAGTCAGGGACCGCGCCGTAAGGAACAATCTGGAACTTAGAATCATACTAGCATTATCTGGTGTGGCATCTAGAGTAATTTGTGGCTTTTTCCCCCTTCTAGGTGTTATTGCTGGAGGACTAGTAGGCTTGGTGTTTGCAGTGTTTCTAGTTGCATTTATGCTGTACAGAATGAAGAAAAAAGATGAAGGCAGCTATTCACTGGATGAACCAAAACAGTCTAATGGAGGATACCAAAAACCACACAAACAAGAAGAATTCTATGCATAAACACTGATCTTCAGGACACTTCTTATTCCATCTTTCTTGGACTCTTCTCTCCCTGCACATGGACCTCCTAGTGTGCTTTGCGTTAAACTTAAGCCATATGATCATTGGGTTATTTGCCCTTACCACTTTGCCGTTGGAAATTTTATAACTACAAAGTAGATCTGGATTCATTGAACATTCCCCGCTTTCTTGCACAACTTTTTTTTTTTTTTTAACAGAAGTGGGACTGCAAGTTCCTAAACTCACTTTGGTTTATCTAAAGACTGCTGGGGCAAGCGGTGGGGAGAAGATAAGGGAGCACTGTATGCATAAACCTCTTGATATTTAGGGAAAGGGCTAGCAAGAATAAACAATTATCAGTGCTCGAATTCTGTATAGCAGGGATCCTTCCTATTTAACTCATAGATGTGTTTTAAGTGTAACAAATGGCTGTGCTGGGCAGACGTTTGGTACACTGCAATCCTCTAGCTCTTTCTAACTGCCGTATTTGGAGCACTTAATGCCTATGAAACATCAAGCTGAACATGATTTCTAGTGAAATGAGGTGTGAGGGCCAGGGTAAGCAAATGACTGTCACATGGTTTAAAACAACTTATATTTTGGAAACATTATCCCATACTCAGAACCAGCACCTAAGCAGTCGGCGCATACACTAATACAAAACAAACCCCAAAGACCCCAAACGTAACTGGAGAGTTCATTTTACCAATAGCGTTGGATTATCCCATTGCCCTCTTGCTCCTTCTAGGCTTAGGTAAGAAATAGAATTTTCTAAGCAGTCTCATCTCAGACATTCCCTCTTCTTAGGTGCCGAATCTAGGCTGGGCTGTCATGCTGCAAATACTCTTATCCCGTGCTACTGTGTAGTCACCAGGAGACTGATGGCGTGTTGTAGCACCTACCTCTCTGTGCGCTGTTTACAGTGGTTGTCTTGGAACGTGGTCTGCTGTCTATGCCACAGAATACCTTGGCACACAGGGGTGGAAGGTAGAAAGCAGCATATCATGACTTCGCAGCTAAGGAGTAGAGAAGCATAGCATCTGAAACAAGCCTGATGAAGGCTAAGTGTAGATGGCCTTAAATATATACAACAGTTGGCGTGCTTGACTCTCACAACTCCAGAACGGCTCTTCAGAAGCTGTTCGTGCACTTTGGAGAGAAGCAACTCCAGGGATGTCAGACTAGTAAGGGACAAAGAGCACCTCCTGTGGAAAGTCCGGATGCCTGAAGCTGTTGGTGGTCAATGTGCTGTCAGATGCGAGTCACTGAGGCCTCACTGAGGGTCTGGAGTTCTCCAGAGTATCTCAAACCGAGTGAGAAGAAAAGTGTGGTGTTCTGCACAAGCCTTACTTCTGCTCTGCCTTTGGTTAGCTTCTTGCAAGTTCAGTTCCTCATCGCTCAGTGCAGAAGGTGTGGGGTGGGTGCAGGAGTGTTTACAACTGATGTAAATAAATATTTGTACTGTTGAGCCAGAGGGAATGATTGGAGAATATTGGAGAATATTGCAACAGTTGGTACAAATGTTGCACATTAACAGTAAAACTTAAAAACCTGTGTAATTTAAATGAAGTATAAAACACTCCTGAGCTGCTACGCAGCTAAAATTGGTGCCTTCTCTGCAAACCCAAGAAAGAAAAACCACATTGATTCCAAACTCTTCTTTATGCACAAGGAAAACTTGTGCATACATGTAGCTGGCTGTTTTTAAGTAAGGCTGCAAAGTCCATTACATCTTTGTTTTGTTGTTTGTTTTTTTTTTTTTTTTTGTTACTGAATGGATTTTATAGGTTAATGCAATGACCAGATGGTGTTAATTTCAGCTGTAATTCTTTGCTTTGTATAGGAATGTAGAAATATTTTTTGATAGGTTTATCTATGAAAAGGTTCTTGTAAAGCACAGGAAGATAAAGTGGTAAACTTCAGTTGTACCTCACAACCTTGCTAGGGGGAAAGGAAAAAAAACTGTATATTTTGGTAGTCTAAATTGACAGTTTGTGAAACAAACATGACATTCTGTGTTATTTAAGTGGTACAAATGAAATATGAGTTCTAACAGAAGATGCAACATTTGGTTATTTGTATGCCATGTAAAGGTATACTGCAATAAATGGCATTTTGGCAAGAATGTGTCTGATCTGTGAACGTTGCTGTATATAATACTCCACAAAGTAGATGTGTTTTTTAAAGCTGCCCAGGTCTTTAAGGAAGGTGGATTCCAAGTACGAAATGTGAATTTTGGTGCTAAACATATGGAAGTTCAGCTCAGAATTTGAAGGGTAGAGTGTGGCCTGCTTCCCTCTTACCCTGCCCTGGATGTCTGGGTTGCGGTGAGCTGCTCTACCCTGAGGCAGTGGTGTGGGATATGAATGGGCTGTAGCGGAGACTTGAATGAAACCTCTTTGTCAGAGCCCTGCAGCATTTCATGCTGCTTCTGACTTTGGGAGCTCTCCTTGCTTGTGCAGTATGTCACCATCCCCAAAAAGGTGAAAAAAGTTGTAAGTCTTCCACAGGGCTCCCTCTTGCTACCTGTCTTCTGCCTCCAGGAGTTTGAGAGCAGAGAGGGCTGCAGGAGGGGGCAGCTTTAAGTCTTTCTGTTAAAATGTGCTTCCCAAGACAAATTTGGAGATTGTACCTCCATGGAGGGAGAACAGAGCAGGCCTGTCCTAAGTATTCTGCTGTACAGCATCAGTTACGCTGGGGTGCCGTGGCTTGTGTGGGAGTAGATGGAGCAAAACAGAAGTAGAGGAGAATGTCCTTCACAAAATAGGGAAGTCAAAAGCTGCTGCCTGTCTGGGTGGGTCTTATTGCAGCTTATGCAATTATTTTCTTTTACAAGGCTTTGAATTGTAAGAAATTTACTTTTTTTGTTCTGTAAACTAGCCAGTATATTTTTAGTTTATAATCTCCTCCTGCTTACACTGGAACCATGTGGGCTATGTGCTTCCCATCAGAAAGTGTTTGGAGGAATCTTGGTAATCAGAAGGTCTTGAGGTCAGGCAAAAGGATCGAAGGATTGTTTAGAAGACTTTGCTTCCATAGCTAAACAAAGCTGGAAAGTGCTTTCTAACTGCATGCCAACTTTGCCAGTCCCTTAAACTGGGTAAAAGACTTGTGTAAGATCAGAGTTGACTGTTTTGCATAGCAGTGTCTTACCTGCTATGAATTCTCATCCTTAGGGTTTCCCAAGACTTTTGCTTCCACTTTTCTTGTCAGTGATATTGTGGGAACTTAAGGCGGCAGGGAGGGAAAAATTGAATTGCTGAGGAAAGTGGGAAATTCCTATGTGAAAACCCTTACAAGTGAAACAGTGTCTGATGACAGTGTCTTATGAGGAGCGGCTGAGGGAACTGGGGCTGTTTAGGCTGGAGAAGAGGAGGCTGAGGGGAGACCTCATCGCGCTCTACAGCTACCTGAAAGGAGGTTGTAGCGAGGTGGGGGTTGGTCTCTTCTGCCAAGTAACCAGCGACAGGACGAGAGGAAATGGCCTCAAGTTGCGCCAGGGGAGGTTTAGATTGGACATTAGGAAAAATTTCTTCACTGACAGAGTGGTCAGGCCTTGGAACAGGCTGCCCAGGGAAGTGGTGGAGTCACCATCCCTGGAGGTATTTAAAAGAGGTGTAGATGAAGCGCTTAGGGACGTGGTTTAGTGGGCATGGTGGTGTTGGGTTGACGGTTGGACTCGATGATCTTAGAGGTCTTTTCCAACCTTAATGATTCTATGATGCTATGATTCTATGATCCTCAAAAGAAATTTTGTTGTACTAAGAGAGTATAATCCATAGAAGGGATAGTCTGCCTCTATTCTGGCACAGGGTAGCCTGGGTTTTTGTGAGTCACGTTTCTGTTTACTGTGCTTCCTGACTTTCTTCTTCATCTGTGCTGGAGCAATTACCACATTTGCTCTTGTTCACAAGTGAGATGCAAAGAATGTGGCAGAAAATCTGACCCCTTCTTTGTTCTGGAAAAATGAGCTGGAGGGTGTAAATGCACCGAATGTCAAGGAAGGCAAACTATGAGAGTCGGAGGACTTTTCACAATTCTCACTTTGTCAGGAATAAAGGAAGCTAAAGCAAATCTAAAAGGCTGTGTAATCTTTTAATTGAAATAGAGAACAGGAAAAAAAGAGGGCCGCTCTACGGGGGTACTGAGAAGAAAAGCTATTTCAGACATTTCATAAATGCCTTATCTGAGTCTTCATCAGGACTAGTATGTATATTGATGAAAATGAGTAGTGGCATAAAGGTACAGGGTGAAATTTGCTCTGTTTGAGGTAGCAGCAAAACTCAAAAAAACTTTAAATATGCAGGAGATGAGCTAGAGGCTCAAAACCAAATAGTTACTTGGCATTCTGGTGTGGTGTTTAGCTCATGAAACTGGAAGCCTGACAGACAGCATTTTTAATAGGCTTGTCAAATTAGAGGACAGCAATTTTACTGCAGAAAATGAAGTGCAGTGTCTTCACTAAGGAAAGAGGAGAGAAAAGGTATGGCCTCAGCAGTATGCAGGATCTTGGAGATAGAAAAATGAGAAGATAGGATGCAGTTAAAGTATAAGGGATAAAATATAAAATAGATTCACCAAAAGCAGATTGTGCCAGACCAATCAGATCTCTTGCTTTTTGATTGCCTTTGAAAAAACTGCTAGCTAATCTAATTGAACTTAAGTAAATCAATTTATCAGTGCCACACAGAAAATGAATAATCAAAAGGAGGAAGCTAGGGATTAGTGGAAGAATTGTAAAGTGGTGAGGAATAGGCTAAGGAGGAGCCTGCAGCAGGAGTTAGTAGGAAGAAAAGACCTCATTTTGGGGACGTCTTTCTAAATAATGTCATTTAGCTGAAATGGAAGGGAATACACAGAATTACATTTGCTGTTGGGAATTTGGGCAGCCTCAACAGTGTGGAATATCAAGAGTAGAATATTTTAATGTTCTGACAAGTAACAATTAGGATCAACTTCAACAGGATAAGGTCAGGCTTTGGAGGGGGTAACAACAGCAATTTCTGCTCTGATCTGGGAATAAGAGAGGGGAAGAAAGGGCTAGGTGAATTAGTCAATTCTAGAATAATTATCTGAGTGACGCAGCTGTAAGAAAGGAAAAAAAAATAAATACAGGATGCAGTAGCCAAGGCATTTCCAGCAAATAGAAGGAATTTTCAGCATTGTGGGTATCGTTATACAAAGAACTAGTGAGCCCTTTGCTTACCATCACCTACATGTTCTAGGATTACATGCTGGGAAGAAACAGAAGAAAAACATTAGAATGATGTGGGCGTAGAGAGTCTCTTCCCACAGTAAACTAACGGTGTTTGGTTTGTTCGGCTTGGGAAAACACAGACTGACAGGTCCTACAGTTGCTGTCTGCATGCTTGTCGTGGTACAGGACAATACAAAAGATGGAGATGAGCATTTTAGGCTAATGAATAATATGGGAGCAAGAAAAAAAAAAGACGACACTGGCAAGTATAAACGTTGAAATAATTTAAAACCTTGAGAATCCTTCCATTAGTGATGGGGGAAAAGATCACAATGGA